TGGAGTCCGGAAGGATAAGCGAAACCTGGTGCAGGAGTGGCAGGCCAAGCAGCAGGTGATGGGGGCTCACGGGTGCAGGGGTGCAGCGGGCAGGGTTGAGGGTGCAGAAATATGGGCTGAGACCTGATTCTGCCCCTCCCAGGGTGCCCAGTATGTGTGGAACCGCACGGCACTCATGCAGGCGTCCAATGACCCCAGTGTAACACATCTTATGGGTAATGACCCCACCCACACACACTGTCCTCCCCAGGTCTTAGGGGTCTTCAGATGGCCCAGTATGTGCAGAGACATGGGCCACTGACCCTCCCCATTGCCGGTCACTGCTGGCTTTCCCACAGGCCTCTTTGAGCCGGGAGACATGAATTATGAGGTCCAGCGAGACCTCACCAAGGACCCATCCCTGGCAGAGATGACAGAGGCAGCCCTGCGCCTGCTGAGCAGGAATCCTCATGGCTTCTACCTCTTTGTAGAGGGTGAGTGGCAGCCTTACTGAGCGGAGGAGGGAAGGGGCAGTCAGGGTGGGTTTCGCATCACACAGCTTTCTGTTTCCTTCCTGCAGGAGGCCGCATTGACCACGGTCACCATGAAAACGTAGCTTATAGGGCACTGACGGAGGCTATCGAGTTCGACAATGCCATTGACAAGGCCAGCCAGCTCACAAGCGAAAATGACACACTGACCCTTGTCACCGCTGACCACTCTCACGTCTTCTCTTTTGGTGGCTACCCACTGAGGGGGAGCTCAGTTTTCGGTAAGTCCAGGGAGAGTGGCAGCTGCTATTTCCTAAATTATAAGCAGGAATTGCTCTGAGCCAGATTCACCTGTCAAATGGGGTAATAACAACAACCTCCCAGCAGGGGTCTGGGGAGGGTTAAGCCGGTGAATGGGCTCAGCACACAGGAGGCTCTCCAAAGGCTGTGGTCAGTGTGATCACCAGGTCCTCTACTCCCTGCAGGGCTGGCGGATGGCAAGGCCTCTGACGGCAAGTCCTACACATCCATCCTTTATGGCAATGGCCCTGGGTACCAGCTCAGCGGGGGCGCAAGGCCGGATGTCGACGAAAGCGAGAGCAGTGAGTGCAGCCAGTGGGATTTCTTAGGGAGAGGGGAGGAGGGGAGGAGAGTGGAGGGGGAACATGGCCAGGAAGTCGCGGGAGTGAGGCCAGCCTCCCCGCCGTCCTGACCCCCCACCCTCCGCCCAGGGGACCCCCACGTACCGGCAGCAGGCGGCCGTGCCCCTGTCGAGCGAGACCCACGGCGGCGAGGA